CCCGCGGACCTACCACTGAGAGAGTAGAATAAAAGAGGTACCCGGCAGCGGTAACTGTGACAGAATGACTTCATGTTTAAGAAAAGCAGCCAAATGCCTTTAGTTAAATGCCGTTTTTAATAAGTAGAACCTAGGACTGCACCACTCCTCTCACTATTGCAACGACTCGTGCAGATCCAAGACATTACTCCTTAAATGCTAGGGGTAGGAAAAAGCGTTCCTTCTGGCATTAGCAGCGTAAATTCATGCATGATTTTTGGGCTAATCCCTTGCTCAACCGCTTAAGGGGTCAGCGAAGGTGCATAATTATTTAAAAAAATTATTAATCTCAAAAGTAAATGTAAGTCAATTTCAAAAGCTTTTAAAAGAGCGTGTAAAAAGTGGTCTTACCACAATTAATTTGATCACTGCCACTGAAGTCGTAGTCCTCAACTTCACTATACCACAATCGGGTTGCCTCGGGTCCTTATAAAAAAACATAACTTAAAATTATCTTCCAGGACTACATTTCACTTTTAGATAAGAAAAAGCGTTATGACTAAATGAGCCCTTGAGTCTTACTTCCACCCTTGATTTTGTGATTTTATAATGAGCTAGGTCAAGTCATTGTCTCTTGTTTATGATTATGATGAAACGACTAAACAAACAACACAATCTCAAGTGGACTTTCTGTTGCATAAGGGGAGGTGAAATTCCAAATAACATATCTACTGCTATCCTCGTAGAGCCTCACCAGTCAATTTGAATCCCGGAGTTCCAAACTTCTTCGCAATATTCTCACCGTAATCGAAAGCCATGCTATGAACCATTCGACGTTTCAGGGCAAGAAATTCGGCATGCTTCTGAGCCTGTTTAGCCAATTCCGGATCGTATGTCAAGGGGCGGCAGCCATGAAGAGCTCGAACTCTGTAAAGCGAACGAAACATAATTGCTTAGCTTTCCGTCACAGTATTGTGTCTGTGAGATTTCTGATCCTTCCTTACAACTACAAAGTGCAAAATGCCACTCTGTTGCCAATTTTTTTGTCGTTTCTTCTGCAATTTTAGTGTGGCTTACTACCAGAGGGAATGGACTTTGTTCTTGCCCTTATAAATTTGAAAGCGAAGTAGTGCGAAGGAGTGCAGGCACAATTCTTCCGAAGTATAAGGTTAGTACCATCATTACAACATAGCTTCAAAACTGCAAAGCAATCATACTTTAAAAAAATTAGCAAGGGTTAAAAAAGCCGGACTAGATATCATTAATGAACGAAGGCAAATAATGCGGTTCCCGTGCTTCCTGTTACTTACACTTAAAAAGCTGTTATTTGGGGCCAAATTGAGATAATGACTGAGTGTATTTAAAATCACCACAGTTGTGGTTACTGATGCCGCTTCTTATGTTGAGAACTTTTGTTTTTCTTAGTACAGCCGCAAATGTAATGAGAACTTCTCAGTGGAGATATTTTATAGTCTACTGGGGTTTATCGTATTTTGGATTAGTGGGCTACTTCAGCAACTTTAACCGTACGACCTGGCCGGCCACAACCGACTGCTGGTTCGATGATTTCTTAGGCAAGACAGTGGTGCGTATTGCATGTTCCGACTCACAAACAATGTAACTCACTGAACAAATTTCAAAGCGCCTAGGATGGATGGATGACACTGTAATAACTTGTGTTAGTTTGATGAATTTGTCGTTAAAGGTGGTTGGTAGGGTTGATGAACACGAACAGGAACGCCGTTTTATACCGCGCAGTATTTTCGTAGCAGTTTGCTAGAAGGGACCCGAGTGGAGAACGGCAATGTTAGCACGTTGGTGAGGCCTTCGAAGCCTTCATTTCTACCTAACCATTTAGTTAAAATCACTTAAATCATCCTGAGGTGTCAACTATGGGACGTAAAGCACGATCGCTTTGAACCGTTCACGATTCAACATCACAACATTGATATGGTCCATCTTTCATTTCACTTCTGCCCCCTCATTCCGATAATTTCTGTTTGCTTTAGACCGCTGTATGCGCCTTCTAATAATCTCAAAGGTGATCCAGATGTTTCTCCAGTCTTTATTAGTACCTCGACCACTAAGAGTTGGAGTAGGGAGTTTCTGGGCCTTTACTGTTCCACTAATCCGCTGATCAACCCACAGAGGCTTTAAATGTCTAAATTGGGTTCGAGCGTTCGTCATCACACCTCCGGGAAATAAAACTTAATTATTCCGATTCAATCTGATAAAACTTCCTTATGGTAAGGGAGAGGGGAGACACACTTGAAAGAGAAACTTACTTATTGTGAGCTGCAATGCATTCTTTGTTGAATTCCTCAAAGAAGCTCATTTTGTGAGGCCTGTGTACTGCACTCCAGGACGGTGAATAAAGTGTTTCCAAGTGAAGTTGAATGCGAAAGAGAGGGCTCAAGCACAGTTGAGTACTTTAACAGGTCGCTACCCTTCCAATGCTTTTGCGTCTCTGTGATTGTAAAGAAAGTGCGAGCCTGAACAACCCCTTGCTTTATCTCCTGATTTTGGGTAGTAGGAGTAAAAAATATGACAACTTGATAAATCCTGTTGTTTTGTCATGCATCAGAATCGTGTACTCTGCTTAAGTGATGTGGCTTCAAAAGAATTACTAGAACTGGTCCAGAGGGATACTGTCGTGTATTGAATTGGACCCATTCCACTGATTTAAATGGTGTTGGGTAGAAAATGAGAGTTCAACTTTTGTCCACCCTTTCGGAGTTTTAGACGTCAAATGATAATGAAAAATCTCAACACACGAAACAAAATAAGAAAACAATGGAAGTAGCAAATCGTTCGCTTCACTTGACGGACAGCTCGGAGACCTCAGGTATCCTCACTTTGCCACTCTTTGGACGTGGTACCTTGGTTTTGAACTCTCCAGTATAGTTGCCGGGAGGTTGGTACTGTCCGACAATGATGACTTTATCCCCTTTAGACGATTTGGCCATTCCAAAACCTGCACGCTTTGTGTCGGACCAAACCAACTGGGTGAAGTGGCCTGCAAGGGGGACATTAGAGCCATTTGTACTATGCACTTCATGCTGGGCATTCCTCTAGTGATACTAGTTTCCGATTGTAATGGTAGTTAAGCTACTCTTCATTCACGGTATCGTGGTGTTCTAGTCCTTGTGCAACCTCTCAGCCTTTTTAAACAACTGGTTCCCGCGAAGTGGTTTGAGGCGTTACTCTGCATTGAATTCGTCCCTTTACTAGCTTTGACACAACTCTAATATACAAGTTATGCATACTACAGCAGTGTCAGTGGTCAAAGACCAACACATAAGTAATTCACTTTGCTTGACAGTGCAGATATTCATTACTAATGAGCTCATTCAATAAGCTGAATTCTACGTCGAAAATTTGAAATTTTATAATTAGCGAAAAATTCTGCCTACCGCACTTATATTGATCTTCTCCTTTGAAATTGTAGTCCTTAATTTCACTGTACCACATTCGAGCAGCATCATATCCTGTGAATGGTAGAAAAATGCCGACTACTCAACCCAACTGCAGCGTTTCTTCAGCAAAGTATGTTCCTATTCTCACCTGTAAACTGGAATCCGGGAGTGCCACCTTTAAGGGCGATATTTTCACCATAGTCACCATTCTTGCTGTGCTCTATTTTATTCATTTTTATAAGGTACTCGGCGTGTTTTTGGGCCTGCTTGGCCAGTTTGACATCGTAGGTCAGAGGATCGCATCCATGAAGAGATCGAAGTCTTTGAAAACAGCAACATTTCTCGACTTTAGCATCTGCACCATGCTCATGCCGCACCACTAAATTCTACCTTAAATGCAGGTGTCTGCAACTATCAATGGTTGACTGAAAATGTAAATTATCGAAAGATGGGACAATGCACTCATCTCTCAAATTACACCTCAATGTTCAACAAACAATCTGTTTACCTGCTACCGTCAAATTGTCGCTACTCTCGGGTAGTAAACCATTAAGAACTATTGAAGAATGTAACAAAATGAAACAGTTAGGCCAAATATAGAATGAAGTGGCTCACAAAAGAGAGCACTGAGAAGCATCAGATATAAGTCGACCATAATGCAAAACCTTCACTTCCATGAAGGGGTTGCGCAGAAATAAAGACGTTTAAGGCGTTATCAAAATTAGTGGTGTGCGAAGATAGAAAAGTTAGAATAGTTCACCACTTAAAATGGCGTTGAAGACAGAAGAATACGTGCAATATAGAAACATTTGGAGTTATAGAACAAGTGAATATACTTATTGTGGGCGTAAATGCTTTCCTCGTTAAGTTTCTCATTGATGCCCATGTCTGAACTTCGAGGACAGAGGGATTATTGATCGCAAAATGAAACATTGAAGGCAGTTGACTGCATTATAAGGAGGAACAATTTTGATGACATTGAATATGTCGAATCTGAAGAAATTATGATGAGGGGGTACCTATATCCATTGAACTAACAAAAAAGAGGTTATCAGTAAAAACGCGAACCGGGCAGTTGCGTGAATAGAACTTTTAGCATTTTAAATATATAAACAATAATCTGAAGTAGTAAATGGTGTCTCACATAGGTAAATTTTAGGGCAAGTTTTTGCAAGCCTTGAACCTTAAAACAATGGTCGCCCTTTATCATATACACAACAGGACCAATCAATGAGTGACAATTTGGTATTTCAACTTCATTTGAGTACTTCTAAGACCTCAAGTAAAATGATACATTTTTGGAGATTCCACTTTGTTGACAGCATTATCTTCAACCAATAGCATTAATAAGTGTGCGGTATCAACATAGCGCCTTCTATAGAAGTGTGTGTACGCTCGAAAGAGTCGGCATCTCGGAGTTTTCAAATTCGGTGTAAGAGTCGTTAAGGTTATAACATAGAATGATTGCGTCATAGCCTTAAATGGGCCACATAGTTCATGTAAACTGTTAGCACTTCTCAATCGACTGGCTAGAATGACACTGTATTGAGTAAATATTAACAAAATCGACGAAAAATCGATATAGCTGTATCGACTCAACTGGTATGAAACTCCAGTACGTATGTCCACTTTTTTGGTTTATTATGCCACAAGGAGGGTATCTTCTTGCTGTTACTGATGAAGTTGTGCTTACATGAACTAAAGCTGTTGAGTTGGACTCCTTTATTTCTTTTCAGTTGAGAGTCTGGTATTCTATTTATTGCTTTGGGAAAAATTTGAGGGATCAGTTTTGCCCAACTTTTTTCATGGGTGGAACTTTCATGTATGTACTAAAAGAGTTAAATGCATTTTCTGTTTAGCGACTTAAGATGACCGCCTTGGCTGAGGTTCAGAGTGCGCTGACTGAGTTCTATTCTCAGGCCTCTAGTCCCGAGCGTCTTGCTCAAATACAAGAATCTCTCATCACTTTTGAACAGCAGCCCTCCTCTTGGATGGCGGCTATCCACTTTTTGACCATCTCCTCCGATCAATATGTATGTCTATTCAGTCTCGGCATCATTGAATCGACTGTGAAACGCCGCTGGACTCTCCTTTCAAACGTTGAGAAGCAGGAGATATTTCAGTTTTTGGAAAAGTACGCTTTCTCGTCAGAACAACAACACGTTGTGACCTCTTTCCTCTCCATTGCAAAGTGCAAAGCCGTTAAGGTTTGGACATCAATTTGCAAAAAGGACTTTGGTCAAGTCCACACACAATTTTTGGCAAGAATAATTGGCCTATTGACCGTGCCTGCATCTGTTACTACCGAAGCAGGTTTGCAGACTCTCTGGCTCTCTTTCTCCCTCTTCAAGGCTGCATACGAGGAGCTTTTACGACAAGATTTCGAAATAAGTCAAATGAAAGTAACCGAGAATACTCTTCTTTTTGGTCGTTCAGTTCCTCAACTTTTGGGAGCACTTTTTGAGGCAGCGGAAAGACTTCTGGGGATAGACATTACCAATTCAGTTAAGGCATTGTTTTCTGATCCTTTGGGTTGCGTCTCTGAAGAACGTTTTTTTACTGTTCTTCGCTTCATCCTCTACTTCGATGCCAATCTTCTCTTCTCCTCTTCAACTAATAATTTGGAGCGGAGGGTATCAACCCTCTTGTTGAAGAACTTTTCCAACTTTTTGGAGTGTCTAAGTGTTCTTTTAACCGTTTCCCCCATCAATGCAATCGATCATTGCCGTCTTTACAGCCTTCTTTACATATTTCTAATCATGGGCTCTCCTAGGATTCTGTCAACACTCATCGATGCTTCGAGATCTCGTAATCTCTCTCCAAATGTGCCCGTTGATTCCCTAGCCGAAATAGGAATGCATAGTTTGAACTGCCTGACAGAGGTAGTTGATCGCAAGGACTTCCAACGCGATGCAATGGCTCAACATCTGCCCTTCATATTCCGCATCCTCTACTGGGATATGTTGATGCTCGATACCCAGTTTCCACTCCCTGATTTTGCTTCATCTGTCATCAACATTATGGCTGAATCAGGTGTGACGTTATCAACTTCTACTTCCTCCAACAACCTCTCCGGTCTGGCTTCTGTAACACAGTCATTGGAATCTATTTCTGAGGATTTATACCAAAAAATTGTGGATATACTTCGTCCCTTGGTCACCGTGTTTTTGCTCTTTTCAAAGTCCCAAAGTGAGGGAGTGGGAGAACAGGAGGGAGAAAGAGGATCTTTATACGCTTTTTCTCCTACGAAATTCCTCCAGCGTGTGCATTTTTTTACTTTCACAGTTTGCCGCTCCATGACCCCAGTTTACCTCTCTGCTTTAGATATGTGGAATGCCTATCTTGATTTTGTAAAGTCTTTCCACTACGGAGATGCAAGTAATTCCAAAAAACAAGTGCAGTTGCCCTCCCAAACTCAAAAAATCATATCTGGTCTCTGCTCTTCCCTCCTCATTACCATTTATTTTTCTGATTCCGCAACATACCTTGATGTCCTTGACACCGAATATCCGTCAGGCGCTCTGGAGACGGAAGAAGCATCATCCTCTTCGGGATCCTATCTTGCTTTTTTCGACGATACTCTACAACAAGCAGATTCCAGTGATTTAATGATGGACCATGAGAGCGAGTACGCCATATTTATGCAGACCTCGCTGACCCTTCTATCCGCCATTGCATTCTTTAATCCCACCACAGTGTTACACAGCATCGCAGCTAAGTTTCAGGAGGGTTTGGGTATCTTCACTCAACTCTGTAATGCTCCTGAACGCATGAGGCTTGAAGAACACACTACGCGAAAATTACACTATGCTCTACGTGACCTTGCAACATGTCTAAATTGTCTTGCATATCTCTCCGATCATTTCGGTTCTTTGCAAGATGTTAGCATGCTTCGATGGCTCCTTGAAGCTCTCGTCTTTAATCTGGAATTGGGAGTGTCCTTCTGTGATCGCTTAAAAACCCTGCAAGTGGAAACTATTCAGCAGGATGTTGTTCAAGTTGTGGTGGAGAATATTAGCCTTCTCCGATGTCTCCTGACTAGTGGCTTTGTCCTCGTTTCTGAAGTGGGTACAACTGCTTCTGAGGTTTCACAGAGTTACGTTGTTCTTTCAATAGCTGATAAAGACGCCTTTGCTATTTCTCTTTTGCAATGCATTCATCGCCTGCTTCTCATCTCTCCCATCGCCTCTCTTCGGCTCCATGCAGCCCTTCTCTTGCAGGCGCTTATAGCGTCATCATCACCCCCAAGGTTTTCGCCTCCTGCTGCCCTTCTTTCCGAGGGTGCCTTTCTAGCTGATCTCATCGCTTGCTGTTGTGAACCGAGTCGATTAAAAGCCTTTAGCATTCCCGTTCAACGCCTACTTATTCGGGCCATCACTGCCTATCTACTAACCGATGAAAGCCCTATTGCAATTCTTAATAAAACTAATCCCAAACGTGCGGAGCAGATGCAGGCTCTGACAGCTCAAAAGAGTAGTATTCTCATTAATCGCCTTATTCCAATGTTCTCTCAGGCTCTGCAGCAAGATACTTTATCCACTGATAGGAACGCCTACTTTGCTGGACTTTGTTGGCTCAATGAAGCACTAGCCTCACTTATTCCTTTGGGGAGTAAAAGCAGACGATTGATGTACGACACATTGACGTCCTCTGGCCTCCTCACTCGCATTTGGCAGTGTCTCGAAACCACCAGTCTTTCCTCCGAGGTGCATCTTTTCATTGCACACCTCTCTTTCTTCGTGCAGTTCACTGACATCTACGGCAGTCAACGCTCCACCGCTTCCATGATCCCTGGCTTCATTACAGCTGTGATGCAACTACTGCAAGTGTTGGAGCACAACACCGCCACCGCACGTCTCGTCTCCCCTGTCATCTCCCACCTCCTTCATCTCCTTAATCGCCTTGTACAGAATCGAACAGTCTTCCCAACAATGGCGATCGAGGTCCTTCACTTCGTCAGCAACTGCCTTGTTGTAAATCTTGCTGGTGGAGTAGTCACCGATCTGCCCTCTATCATTGCTACTGCATCCAAAAATGATCCTGATCTATGTTTGCGGGTCTTTCAAACCCTCTTCAACACTGCCTCTTACGCCTACAGCCGGATGACTGCAGAAGATGAGCATCTTGCAACCTTCCTCCGACCCGTTCTTGCTGTTTTTACAGGAGAGGTCTTCGATCCTCGGCTCCTAATTGCCTGCGCCGATGCAATGGTGGATCTCAATACGCGGCATCGAATTTTTACCCTTCCTGCTTTTGTGAATCACTGGCGAAATCAGTTTGCGCGTCGATTTTTGGCTCTTTTATTTGATGGAGGTAGTTCAGTTCAGCACGGGAGTGATTCGGAAGCAGCGCTTGTGCGTTTGTTACACGGAATCTACTGCTCGCCTGAAGGGTTTGCGAAAAGTGATTTCTGCGAGACTGCAGTTGAGGCCTTCTTGGCGGAGAGGATACCATTGGTAAAAGGACAGCGACCCGTCGGACTGACAGCCACATTTTCGGCGGTGGCGGCGGGGGATTTAAATACAGTGGAAGAGTTCAGCACCCTTTTGAGTGGGCTTTTGACTGAAATGAGACAATGGATTCGAGGAGTCCAAAGCACCGAGGAGACGAGTGGTAAGAATGGATGAGGTGAGCAGAATTTTGAGTTGCAATTTTTTAAGCTTTTGCTACAGTTCTTTACTAGCTCCTAGTTACACTGATGTAGAAGCTACAGTTAAGTTAATCAGTCATTCCCATAGTCCGCAGAGAAATTTTGTGTCCGTGATTTAGTGTAGTCTTTTGAATGTACCTCGAGGTGGCTGGGATTTATCTGAAGCAAACTATTGGATCCTGATTCAGACATCAGATTTGTGACAACTCATTAATCCCCCGTAAAACCCTCGGTATTGTCAACCAAATCTGCTAGCGACGCCGAAGTCGTCAACCTGTTCTACTGAGATTGTATTAAGTAGAAGGAATTGGTGATTAGCAATGAATGGATTTACTGTCAAGTGGGGCGTATTCATTATGGGATGCAGTGGGCACAAACGCCTTTTTTGTCGCTTCAAGGTATCTGCTCTCCTCTACACCTTTTCACTGGCCCTTTTATTGCGGAAGTGGGTGCTTCGAGCCCTCTACCCCGGAGCCTTCTATGATGAAAAGAGACTCAATCCCTGCTCTGTTGACTTTGACTTTGTGTCTTGCTCCTCATCTTCTCGAGTAATCTTTACTTGTATACACTCATGCTTGTACATTGGCGTGCATCTGTTTATTTGTTTATTATGTGAGCTTAACTATGGGTTGTCATGAAAAAAAGCAGCAGTTTTTTAAATAGTCTTTTCTTGCAACAGTTCTTAAGGTGTGAATGGGCTCTATAGCAGATTTGTTGGTAAAGTTAAAGCAGTGACATAAGTAACAGTGGAGAGTCTGGTGGAGGAGATGTAGTGTACTCACTATGTGTAGCATTGCATCCGTCTCACTTTTGATGGGGAAAATGTGGGTACTTGTTCCGCGGGCGAATAAAGTTGAATTACGCGAGCAAGGGGTTGTACTTGAAGATGGGTAGTTTGGCAAACCGTTTCGCTTGAGAAGTAATAATCGAAGACACATCAAAGTCTGGTTTACTGAAGCCATCGACATATTTACGGGGAAGAATGCATCGACGACGTGGCTTATGCTCATTCTTCACACGTAATTGCTGTTTCAGTCCAATTTAAGACGATAGAGGTTTAGTTTATTTCGATACTTGGTGGTTGACGTTTCGCAACAATCTAGAGACGTTTTACTTATAGAGACCGAGGTTATTGTTCAGTGAGGTTAGACTCATTTGCTTGTCTCAACCAGATGCATAATGTTTGACACTAAGTTAGTGCGTTCAATCGAGCCCCACTGGAGCCTTAATTCGATACAAATCACCTCAATCCTCAATCATTCACACTTTACAACTTTCTTAAGGTCGTAAAATTAGCTGATAAAACCAATTTGCTTGACCTTTTATGTGAAGTAGAGTGCGTACTTATGCCTGGTCAATCGCATTCTCTACGCACAATGTAATGGCACACCTTCAACACAGTTGGTGTGCAAGGAATAGCACCAAGTGATGAGATTTGCCGTTAAAGCAAAACTTTATTTCTACAGGCAACTCGCTTCAACTAATATACGTATCTCAAATAGTTGTGGTTAAACCACCGACAAATCTGTTTACCCTTGCTCTTCCTTTCACCATGAATGATGAACGCATAGATGCGCGACACTACGCTGAACGAAACGATGCCAATTTCTCCCATTTGTCGTCATCCACTTTGTAGACGTCGGAATATGACCAGAATGAAAATAAAATAGATCACCATTTTACCCTCTGTAAACTTTGAATTTGCTACTTTTGAATAAAATGTAGGAATTTGCATTCCGAGTTTCTACTTCCCCTTCTTCATACATTATAATGAGTCCTCTGCATACTTTCCACACACCCAAATCTCGCGTATCCTGTTGGAGATTAGTCTTCTACCGGCATTTAGCCATCAGAAGAAGCGAACGAGGCTGATAACACAAACAGAGTGATAACATAGCATGCATTACAATAGCACTTCGACGTTGCTATGCTTGGAAGTCCCACCGTAATTTGATACGGAAAGTGGGACTACTTTCCGTTACCTTCGTGATTATAGGCATTACTGATTGGGCACTGGAGGCACTCTGGTTGCATCACAACAGAAGGATAATTGTTGCCTAGGATAAATCCAGATTGAGGATCCAATTTGTTATTATCGGCAAAAGGGAAGCTGTGGAGTAGCCTGGCCCAGAGACTCAGGTCTCAGAGGCTACACATTCTCTCTGTGTCACATACGACAAAATTGGCTTGTGCAAACGACTTGTCAGCAGATGTCTGAAGCAAAACTGAATGTCTTTTGATACGTACATTGTTTCGGAAGTTACGGAAATGGAGACCCACAAACCCCTTTTTTGCTCGATGGTATGGTTTGGTATTTTGGTGCCTGCCAATCAAGTTTGAAAGGCACTGCTGATAGCACGTTGGACGCTTAATACATTCCCTACTTTGTTTATTTTTCACCCAGATTCAGATAGGAGGCACGAAACCAATGAAATGAGACCTTATCTCTACCAAAAGATTTCGATGACCTCTTGTGCATACAGCATGCGTACTCACTGTCCCTCAAAACAAACCAGTTACGAAGGATGTGGTGTTCCCCTCGAACAGTTAACCGACACTAGTACAATTCCTCAAAGAGTCTAAATTTTACAATGAGCTACTAGGCGACTGTAGCGTGAGGATGTGAAGGTAGAGGAATGGGAGGAGAACAGTGCTTTGCAACATGCGGTAGAATTTTGGTCAAGCAGATTCTTCACAGCTCTGACGGTCAAGCAGAACTGGCACAGTATGTTATGAGGGCTTATAAATGATGAAAGGCTGGCTTTTTACAATGCATTGAGTTACTTGCCTCTTAGTGAACGCAGTCCCCACGTACAGGCCTGATAGACGAAAATGGTCGTTGTCAGACAGGAATTCCAACACCACAAGAACCTGCACGTCGGAATGGCTGATAATTTCGCTGAAAGCTACGATAATTAGGATGATACACAACACTTGACAGCTCATTGACTAAAATGACTTTGTGAGACTTTGACTGGATCTTCTGTCCCCTTCAACGACTTCGTTGGAGGTGAATGGTGAGGATAGCCAACAGCGGTGCACTGACGACCTCTGTGATGTCAGCTCGACTAATTGCTATGCTCAACAACGGTAGAATCCTTCTCCCTTCCATTGCGTTGTTAAACTAGTCATTGATAAGTCGTCGTACTATTAACTGATTAGATTGACAGACCTCATAGTTACCAAAAACAAATTCAAGCTGGAACGGGGTGTTACCATCCTCGAGGTTAAGCAGGCGCGGCCACTCGATACTTCACAGACGAATCAAGCAACCGGACCCATCGAAAGACTGGAGGCATTTCAACGGATTGTTATTCGAAGTTCGTATGGCGATCATTACAACACATCGCACATCTTATTTTCTAGGCAACCCAAATCGGAGAACTGTTAGCTTGTAAAGTCTAGCCGAGAATAATAAAAGGTTTTATAAAGCTTAAAGCGCTCTAAAAAACAACTCTGCACAGTGCCAGAGTTGGACGTTGCCATCGGTGTCTGTGATGCAGTTCGGCCTCGAAATGTTCACTCATCTTCATCGAAAGCTTACTTTAAACAGTCGACTGTCTCACACCTGCTGGACTGGAAATCAAATCGTCACCTGAAAATGTTGCAACAGAATCCAAATTTGGTTGGAATCTGCATTTCTGCAATACATGTCTCAACACCTTCTTTCTGATCTATTCAAGTAGCACTAGTAGAAGCTCCATTGTGGTTTGCCTTTTGTCTTGCATTTGTTTATTGAATCCTTGGCCATGTATCTGAGTGAGTCGCGAAAAGGGAAACATGAGAGACCAAGTAAACAGTCTTTGGTGCACATCTAAAAGTAGATGAAAACATCATTCTAGCACCTCGAGGCAGCTTTACCACTGCGAGGAGACGTAGAGACGGACTTGAAAACATACAAGCCTGATGTCCGACGGCTACGTTAAGATTTGTCAGGCGCTTGTACACGTGGCTGGCCTTCTGACCAAGCGCAGACTTAATCCCTTTGGTCTCCCTAGAATATGTGCATCCAGTTCCACTTTGTCTTCTCCTACCCGGTAGGAAGTCTCAGGACGCTACAATACATGTTAGCAGAAGGAAAGGACTACGAGGCATTGAGCATGGCCTAGTCTTGCCTAACCAGCGAAACCAATAAGACCTTCCAAGTGCCCGCAACCCAAACCGGTAGTCAAACAAAGTATAACATTGGGGGAGTTAGTAAGCAAGGGTTATTGAGGGTAAGTAGGGTTTGCAGGAAAAAAACAATGTTTCAATTAAAATTGGGCAGAGACAAAAGGAATTTTTCGCTTAGTATGAGATATTATTCAAAAACGATACAATTATGTCGTAAATTACAATGCATTCATAAAACAACAATTTGTCTTGAAGTTCTTAACCGTCGACTCTTCACTCTGACCTAATCTTTACACATGCAAACATCGTAACAGGACACTTGGCACCAACCAGTTCCACTTTTGCGCCCTTTCTGAACACTTAGCGCGTTTTCCTGTTGCAATTGCGAGGTGGTTCCACCCCTGCACAAGCAATGCCATGCCGCTTGAAGAAGGAGACACATTGAATAATGCCATATTCAAGGAGCAAGTATATAAAGATGGCTTTTTGATCAAATACGATGTAATGTGGGCTTGGTTGGATGTATCTGATGGGCAAAAGATGATTAGTAAATACGAATCGCTCGTCAAGTCAAATGTCGTTGGTGCTGGGAGTGACAAATCTTGCAGCTGCCCCTCTTTTCTGCTAATCTTTAGACTGTGAATTCCAAGACGGAAAAGTACCATTCAATCCATTAAATTGATGGCACTGCATGTGGTCTCCTCCTCGCCTAAAAGTGAGGTGGTCCTCAAACATTGGCTTTAAACCACATATTTCAACCTGTGCGTGTGTTCAACATCTAAACAAAGTGTTTACGAGATTTCTGAACCTCACTTCCAACCAGAGTCGTAAAATGATAAAATGTGGGCACAAAGTCACATTGACCATTATGACTGAGAGAACTGAGACCATAAACGTAAAATAGCGAACTTTTACACAACACCTTCATGGCCTTCAGGCCTTTTGGACTACTCTAATTCGACCAAATCAGTAATAAAACTTACGACATTTGGGCTGTTAATACAAAATCAGAGCTGCTCCTTAGTATAGCAATTTACGTGAGGCAAGAGAGACGACGCTGGTAAAAGGCAAAGCATCGTAATGTGATAAACTTATCCCATTAGAGTTTCGCTGTCTATACAATTAGCTGGAGACATCGTTTCATTGGAGACGATTTCCAACGACACAATGAAGCCGTTCTGGGCAGTGGGAGTGGAACCTTGCCCACAATTTTCGCAATGCTCTGCTTTTTAGGCTTCAGCAGTGCGTTGAACAGACCAAACACCCTCCAAACAGCTAACTCATGTCACCAACATCGGAAAAGAAGACCATCGCGAGCTACTGGTTGAGTATAAAAATGCAATCTCTCCGTGGGGAGACAAGTTAAGAACAAACTCCATGAAACATATAGTCGACATCGGAGAGGCTCGACTAATCCGCCACCCCATTGACGAATATCACTTCCTCCATTATAATAAAAAAGCCTTCGTGCTGTAGAGATGACAGGAAATCACGTTATCACCACAACCTACATCGACTGCTCTGATAAGGAGGGAGGACGGAGGACCTCGACTGCACCAAAGTTAGCTTTCTTGCTCTTTCAGGTAAACGTTTTGCTGAACTTTTAGCATGAATACAAGTGATTCTCTATGTTGGACTTACACTAACCCTAACCCTTCCAGTTTGACAAAATGTCCGCTGATTTAAGACTGGGGAAAACATTGGGATTTGATTTAGTTTCTACTACAATTTCAAGTCTGTCATACAAACTGACAAAAAAGGAGGCAAAAACAAATAATTATAAGTGAAATGGCACGGAAGACTGAATGGAGCTGTTTTTCCTCAATTCGGGCATTATGCAATGTCGAGCCAGGAGCTGCATCATTGGCATCAGGTGCTGCTGCTGGCGCTGCATCTTTGGAAGCAGTACTTACAGCAGTTGGACACTAGGCGTTGCTCAGGAGCGATGGAGTTCTAACACTGATCTTACTGATTAGTAGGAAAAGTATTTGCTTTGCAACAGGGGACTACAGCCGTGCTATTTCACAACCATTATTGTTCTGATGCACCGCTCCAATTCCGCACGTACAAAATGAGGGAACGCGCAACACATTTAAGTTTTGGAAAGGATTCTGCCTTGTCAGCAAATTCTGTTTCACCCTACAGCATCATTCGAAGAAAAAGAAGAAAACGGGGATCAAGCAAGGCGACTTACCTTAAATGTCCATGGACAGCACTTGGAGGTAGTGTTATGAAGTTGGTGTAGAGCGCCTATAGATTCAGTGAATTGTTGCGTCGTCTTTGGCTGGTCACGCTGCTTCAACACACTGTCCCAGCCGATATTAGTGTTCCCTATGATCAACTGAAACACTCGAAGGGACCACAACCCCTACGACATGAGATTCGGGGCACTGCATCCACGGTCAAGACGGGCATCTCCTTCTCTAGACTTGTAATCGATTCTGCACCAAAGGTTCCCATTGATCTCTAACACCTAGCTCCGATTGTTCTCTACGTTCAATTTAATTGTATGACACTATTTTGTCCCAATATGAAATGCCCTAACCCCTCAGCCTCTTCAGGTTGCTAGCTGACCAGAACGACAGCCAAAATGGTCATCTCATATCACGTGGTAATACTTTGAATGGGCGTCCTGAGTATGTGAGCGTCTGACCAATCATTTTTCCAAGGGTGAGAATTATGAGTCCATACGCTTCATAACTGCCTACCTCATTTGTCTAGAATTTTATGAGCGTACTTACACAGCATAGATAACAATTAGCAACACGTACAGAGCTATAAATCGTACTCATCGCATGGCACATTTAAATGTACCCGAAGTGTCAAGGGATAAGTCTGATGAAAGCAATAAAATACGTGCTCTATACATAGGCATTAATAAAGGTTGCACCACAAGTTCCATCATCACCGGTAGAAGTGATAAGATGCACGCCATTTATATTTAGATACTTCTGCTTCCTCAAATATTGCAAGGCCTCTGCGTTGGAGAACGCTATGTGAGCTTTGCGCGTTTCCGGATTTACCTTCACGTTGATGATTTTGCCGAAATGACTGAATAACTTTTGAACACGGTCTTCGTTCCATGAAGAAAAAACATTGTTGACAACCAACACGTGGCGACTACTTCTGTCATCACCGAAATCTGCTGCTTCTCTGCCAATTGGTGAGGGGAGAAGTTAGGTCCAGTTAGGTCTGCCTCAAGGCGTTACAACGGTTGGGCAACTTACTTCGAAGCTGGCAGAAATGCAGGTCGCACGACAATATATTCCCCGCTCAATTGATGAGGACGCGCCTTTAAAACGGCCTCCACCTCCTGCGGTGTCGCCATGTTCACGAAAGCAATGTCTCGTGGTCTGGCACCCTTTCGGTAAGGTATCATGTCTACAGCTGTCACTGTGCCGTAGTGAGAGAAGTACTCCTCCAAGGACTGCTGCGTAGCCGACGGCTTTAGATTGGAAACGAACAGACGCAACTCGTCCACCTTTCTTCTACCTCTAGGAACACCAATTTCATCGTTGTACCTCGCATTCTCGTCCTTCTTATCGCTAAAAAAAATACACTCTCACTAATAAGTCCTACATCACAACGTGTTGGAAATTATGGCGTTCCTAAATGGCAGATCGAAGCCAACGCCCTTGGAATTACATGTCCCACTCCCACAACTCTCCATTCTCTTTTACTTGCTCGTAAATATGAAGTCCAGCAGTGTAGAATAGATTATCCAGATACAAGCAGGCGAACGCAATAGCATTGAAAACTCATTGAAAGCAAACACAGGCATTAAAGAGAGACAGTTCGGGAACTCATCTCAAATAAAATACCAACCTACTTTGCAAGTGAGGTGGAGGCCAAGTTCTTCTTATTCGTCTTCAACGTGTAGGGCTTTACTTGTACAGGCCCACCTTCGATAAGGTGGTGCCTGTCGATCAGCGCTCGTGCAGCCTGCGCCTCCTCTCGAAAGGTAACAAAACCAAAGCCTCTCGACTCGTCTGTATTGGAGTTCCGTGCGATGCAGCACTCCTCAACGGTTCCATATTGCGCAAAGTATCGACGCAATTGACTTTCCGTGTGGTTCGGTCTCAATCCACACACGTACAATTTCGCCAGAGACTTCGTAACGGTGGCAACGGACGGAGTGCTCTTCCTGCTTTGAAACACACAGAAAATGATGTCACTCAGACTTTGGTTGGTCCATACTCCGGCTTTACCAGGGAAATT